ATTTTGACACCAAATTAAATATCTAAGGGATTGAAAAGGAATTAAAAATATCATTGAGGATCATTTTAATATAAAAGCACGAATTAGGGGACCAAGAAGTATTAAACCAACAATGTTGCACTCTGTATGTCTCCCTCTTTAGATTAATAAAGGTTTTCAAGATCATTTATATTGCTTTTGGTGCCAATTAAAGGAACATTTTGGACAACCTTTAATCTAGTTAGATGTGTACTTTTTTCATTTTTTAACTGAAATTTAATTTTCATAAATTAATTGTCTAAGTATAAATTACTTAAAAATCTTTAATTCTTAAGTTAACTAGAAAAAATTGAGATATTGTTGAACATTGAACATACATACGGCCGGAAACAATGCTTGGAGGGGATAAAGGAAGTCTTAGAAAATGGCTTGTCTTCTAGTATCTAGATAGAGAAAAGGGGACAGTGGAGTGGAGGAGTCACATGCATACAAACGCGGTATCAATCACGGGTTTCACAATCACTACCCGCTAAAATTAGGCCTCACAATCTGAATTTGATTCTCTTTTTGAAAGATGAAAAATATTGTGGTGTAGGAAAAAAAAAGGAGGAATAGCTATCATACCCAATCAGCTTTGTTCTTTATGCAAGACTAATAGTAATAGAGTTCATCAAGTCAATGCAACTTGACAAATATTCTAATAAATTAGGATATTTAAACAAATTCGGACAACTTTTTTCATTGATTGAATGCTAGTGACACTTCAGAGAATCATATACATCTTTGTGAGTTGCAAGTGGGTGTAGTTTCCTTTTTTGCATTTTTATTTTTTCTCTTTGTAATTTTTTTTAACCAGAAAAAGTGTTATTGTACTTCAAATTATATTAGACAACAAAACCGATATCATCAAATGGGGGAACCTATTGACCCCACCCTTACATTCAAGGGATTTGCCTTATCTAATAGTCAGTTTTATATGGTACCCAAGGCAAGTGAATTTTGATAAAAATGATTTTTTGTGTATCTAATGATGGGTATGTAACAAGGGGTAAAACCCCCAAATCCACCCTCAAATAGTAGGGTAGGGATAAATTCACCCAAAAAAAAAAAGAAATTAGGTATAAATTGTTTCTTTAAAATCGTTAATCAAAATAAATCACTTATTATTTAATGTCTGATGTCATCAAACATCAGTTTTTCATTAAAGACAGGCTTAGGTACCAAATAAATTCTTGACGTGCGATAATGTCACACATTAAATAATAAATGATTTATTTTAATCGATAATTTAGATAGACAATTATCATTACTTATTTCTTAAGAATGAATCTATTTTTATCCTCCTATTTTATAGGCATATTTAAGAATTTGGCTGCAACAAGAAATAGTCTTCCCTTGTATCAAAATCTTTCTAAATCATATCAAGATTTGAATTTAAGGTTTTTAATTAAAAAAAATTTACACTCTTAATGACGCAAATGTTACCTATGAAATATAACAAAATGTTTGCTATTTATTTTATTTTATTTAGAGTGGTGATTATTATTGGAAGCTAGATTTGTGGGTAAAGAATGAGCTCGAACAAGCCCTATGGTGCCTGTCACACCTTTGAGAGCAAAGGAGACTATTGCTGATCTATATATAGGTTGCCGACATACATTAGCTGAAATTTTTTTATAATAATCAGGTCGTATTTTGAAGCAGTTTGAGAGCGTATCAAACTAAGTGCGATCCAGACATGTAATTTGCAAACCCTATGTGGGGTTCAATTTGAGGCTGAGATTAATTTCCAATCCGAACCATTCAATCATTGTTAATTTTTACTTTTTTTAATTTTGCCCATCACACACGCCAACGAGTCAGCAAGAGCAATATCTTCGGGCAGGACGCGGGAGGAGGGCAGAAACATCAATATCTTCCAATCTCTCTCACTTTCTCTACCCCTCTATAAAAGGGGCACTTCTAATATGAAATGGAGTAGGTCGATCTCTAGTAATGGAGAAGTGTGCTTTAGCTAGCATCCTAATCCTCCTTTTCAATTTAGCCAATTTGCTCACATCTCTTGCTTGCCCCTACTGTCCTCCTACTCCACCCAAATGTCCCCCTCCAGAACATCCTCCACATGTCAAGCCACCCGTCCACCCTAAACCACCGCATGTCAAGCCACCCTTCCACCCCAAACCACCGCATGTCAAGCCACCGTATATTCCCAAACCTCCCCATGTCCCTAGACCACCGCACGTTCCCAAGCCACCATACGTACCAAAACCTCCCGTAGTTAAGCCTCCACCTTATGTGCCAAAGCCTCCCATAGTAAGGCCTCCGCCTTTCGTTCCGAGGCCTCCCTATTTCCCCAAACCACCTTACGTTCCCAAGCCACCATATGTACCAAAACCTCCCATTGTTAAACCTCCACCTTATGTACCGAAGCCTCCCATTGTATATCCTCCACCTGTGGTTCCCAAACCACCCATTGTGCAACCTCCACCTTATGTACCGAAG